AATTGTTATTCAACTTGTACCAATCGTCAACTACATGTCCTTTCTTGTGACAATAAACGTAGAATTTACGCTTGGTCTTTGACTTGGATCTTACCTTACCGAAGAAAGATGAGCCTCTTTCAAATGACCGTCCTTTCACATTTATATGTTCGACTTTTGATTCAGTACCACAATTCGTGATCTGTTTCATTTTCTCCTTCGAACCTAAAGTAGTAATCACATCTTCCAAGTGAGTCATGACTATACATGATTGTGTCACGAAAGTGAGTATAAGAATGCAACATGATAACAAAAACAAAGACAAATCATTGTCTTCATACTTCACATCCATATTCTCTTAAGTTGTAGACCAAGTCTTTGAATGTGGACAAATAACTAGACAACGAACTACCTTTAACCATCTTGAGATAAAACAAACGTTGTTTCAAGTGTGATTTGTTCGGTATACTCTGTGTCATCAACAAATGTTCGAACTTCAACCATAAAGTTGTCATCTAAGTCCCCATCAACACATCTTATTATAGCAATTTCTACTATGTCCTAAAAACTTTACGGGGTTAAAAAATGTCATATAAACTTATTACAATAAATTTAGATAAACGCTTTATTGTTTGATCTCATAAATTTGAGTCCTATAAAATGATATATTAGGACACCTAGAAATTATTGGCATCGTGTAAACCTGATTTTGTTGTAGTGAGCCCTAATTTACAAATATCTATTTGGTTGTTGCCGATATGCGACTTGTCAAGTCGTGTTCAAAGTCGCTCCTTCTTCTATTCCCAAGTTGCTTGTAATGTTATTTATGTATGCTTTACAAGCTCTGTGCATGTGATGACACATGGTTTTGCACTTTTTTATGTGTATGGATCTACAAGTGTCAAGAACTAAAAACATCATAAACCGTAGAGAGCAACAAGCGAGATGTCCTTTGTTGACAAACCCTAGAGATGGAGAAACAACCATGATGGCATTTGTTGATATTATCAACCAAAAATTATACATCAAAAGAGGTAATTGGTATTAGTTATGACACGTCAATTAATGAGTAATTGAATGTCGGTATTAATAAGTAGCAACTAAAGTAGGTTAGCCACCACATTCAATCATAATGATGGTCGTTATGCAAAATGCCACGCGACTTAAAAAATTATTGTCACCAAAGTCGATGACTATTGATAAATAGTAAATAAATTAACCCCCAAATCATATTACTGATTGTTTCTTCCAACCTAGAACACCATTGGTCAAGATCTATACCATACAACATAGTGAAGTTCTTGGTAGTCACATCACGAATTTATATTTATATAGCATTAAATTAGATGTGATTCTTTATAACATTTTGTACCACTAAATTCACCCAAAAAGAATAAAACTACATGGTAATTGCTTATATAAATTGACGTTCTCATATTTACTTTGTAGAAAATAGAATCCCTAACCATTTAAGTACCGATAAAAAATCTATGATTCAAACATACCCAACATATCATACCTTTTAAATCTGTACAAAATGATATGTATATGCACAGACAGTATACATATACATATATGACATGTTTTCTTATCAATTTCCCAAAAGGAAATGGATTGTGAACTTAAACATGTTATCTTTATTAATCAAGATTATAGTATTTGTAATGAATAGTGAAAAGATAGATAGCACCAAAGTTGTCCATTTGAAAAGCAGAAAAGAACAAATACTAAAAAGAAAAGATATGTGGTCTTAAAGGAGGACCATCGAGGCACTCGTCAAGGTTATATCTTATAATAATCCCAGCATTAATTTCAACAGATCCCAAGGCATCTTAAAGTTGGAGAAGATTTGATATGGTTGAATCCCATTTGAAGATAAATATATTATTTGTTTAATTAAAACCCAAAAGTGGCTTCAAAAACTGCCTCCTTTTCTTCTCCATGTCCATTAAAAATATTAAGATAGTTTTCATGGCCAGTGGTTCCCTCATCTCTTTTAAGAACTCATATATTGCTTTCCATGCTTGAGTTTTGGAGGTTTTGTGCCCCAGAAAGTATGGACAAATTCTAGATTCTTGAATATATATATAATATATAATTAATATGTTTCAATCAATTAAGATTGAGAGCATCCTTCACTATCATAATCACGACGTATGTGTTTCTTTTTAATAAACTAATTAAATACCCAATATTTAATCAAAAAACTGATGAGTTAAAATAGTGAATACACGATGGCATTATCAAAGTAATTATTAAGATTTTCCCTAATATAATGAGTTTTAGTTCTTACTTAATGTTAATTAGCCATTGAGAACAATTATCATCTTTAGGCATTCGAGAGTGTCTCTTCCACAAGCAACAATTCCAAGCAAGCCAGGTTAAAAGATCCCGAAATGTGCATGACAGAGAAAATGATTCATATAAAAGATATAGCATTAACACAAAACTGTCCCAAAACAACTTTGTGCATGGGTTCGAATAGCCACAACCGTTGGTGTTTATTCACAAAGGTCCAAAAAGATGCAATGGTCTATAAACGGCCTCTCTCGAACATATGGCAATGGTTCTGGCAAAGGCCGACCATCTCAGTTCAAACTATCACCAAAAGGTGACGAGTGTCAAAATATAGGCCAAATACTGATGGTTCAAAGGGATGTCATTATAGCCTATATATCCATGCACATTCTAAACACCCGAAAACCACACTTTTCTATATACTAATTTGCCATAAGTTGTGTTAGAAACACTTTTTAGTTTCTTGAAATCCTTAATTACTCACAAGTTTATCAAGATTATCAACCACCATGCATTGTTGATAATCATACTACATACATTGAGCTTCATTGTACCTTAATAATTGAAGCAATTCGTCAAAAACCCAAGGCACAATCAATGGACACGGAATTTCTCTCTCTCTCTCTCTCTCTCTCTCTATATATATATATATATATATATATATATATATTTAGCCATTAAGTTAATAGCCCAAAAACCCACATTTGGTAGATGGAAACAACCGTTTGAAAAGAAAAACAGTCAAAGGTCCAATTGCTTGTGGCTTTTGGAAGCATAGATAGAGACATAAGTGGTTTGGGTGTTATGATTTAAACAAGCAACATGGTGATGTTGTATGGTGTCAAAGCAAGAAAATGTGGTATCCTACATGTTTCGGAGAACTCTCTTTTCCTTTTTACATCCAACAATGACACTTTAATTATCATATACAATGAATTTCGTTTGGGTACCCTCACATCCATATTTCGACATCATTGTATAAGTCTTTGTAGGGTTAGTAGTTCAATTATTCGAATCATGCTGTTTTTCTTAAAATTCTGTAGCGGGATTTTGACGTTTATATAAGTTTCATAAAATAATATATGAAACTCAAGTTTTGGCCTATCCCTTAGGGTGATGCTTACATGTATAAATTAGTCTCATGGCATGTGTTGAACTTTTGGAAATTTGTACCTCTGTTTAAGTACATTTTAACCATAAGGTGTATGTAAAATGAAATAAGATCGATTTATAAGAAAGTCATTTCGATAGTTTTGATGATGTCTTTAAAATTTGTACAAACTTAAAAGCCATGTATTACTAGAGATATTGACACGTTGAGTCAAGTTAAGTAGCAAGTTATTTGGATTCGGCTCAAGAAAATGATACCAAACTCAAACTTGAATAAAATCGTAACGTTAGCCGGTCGAGCTTTTAGATTTGTCAAACGTGGGCCGATAAAAATGATATATTGTTTTTGTTATTATTTGATCATAAAAATTTGCTTGGCCCAAAGTTTTGTGTTAATTGGTACATTAAAAAGGCCCAAGTGAGGGGAGACCCAAACCCACGATATGATAAAAGGAGCATAGTTAAAGAAAAAGGAAGGTGGTTTACGTTCCTGGAATAGATTTATTAGGGTTGATTGGTACCGTCATTACAACCAAATCGGGTTTATAGAACATTCTTAAATTCTAAGTGGTCTAATAAACCTCTTTATAGGACTTAGTTTATAGGACCAAAAAAATAAATTGTCTTATCTGAAGGTGTTGTAATAAGTTTATATGACGCTTTTGGGCGTCTTAACAAGTTTTTTAGAACATTTTTAATACAAAGTGTCGCATTAACAATTTTATAAGACACTTTTGAGAAAATGTCCTATAAACTCATTTTTTTTATAGGACACTTGTTTTTATGGGACAATTTTTCAAATAGTGTCCTATAAAGTTAATAATGAGACATTTTATATTAAAAGTGTTCTAAAAAAACTTATTACGACGTCAAAAAACGTCATATAAACTTATTACATCTTTAGATAAAACATTTTATTTTTTGGTCCTATAAACTAAGTCCTATAAAGAGGTCTATTATGACACTTAGAATTTGAAAGTGTCTTATAAACTTAATTTTGTTGTAGTGAGTATTAAGTTTTCTCCTCAATATTGTGTATTAATCGCACATAGGAAGAAGAAGGAAACAACAATGATTTCATATTAATAGATTCTGAGGTGGGCCAATTGGGTTATAATTATAGCTTTCTTTGTGTCTGAATGGATTTGGAGATGAGCTTAATTTGGTTTGGATCTTGAAAATGGTTGGCCTATATACTAATAGATTGTGAGCCGGTCATAACCCAAATCATTTCAGACATGCACAATTGAACACCACTCTATCTTCACGATTAATGGTTAGTATTGTTATGATTTCCAAATACAATAAGTTGGCTTATTCTTAGTTTTGGCCATTTAGGGTTGGGTGTCTTAATTAAAAAGATACATTCTACAAACAATACAGTAAATAAATAGATATATAAATACAAGTTGTAAATATATTGATGTTCCAATTATTCAAAGATTTATGTGAATAAATCAATTCCGTGACCTCAAAACCAACTCACCAACTCGACATAGCATACCAATTACTAATTAGTCGGGCATCATTCTCCTATTATTAACCTTCCATGTACTATGTTACATTTTTTAATATGTGCATATTAGTTTCTATAGTTTATCTTCTACTAGGTGTTATCCTCGAGAGTCCTTCATTGCCGGTGATGCTGAAGCCATATTGTGTATAATTACAGTAACAAATCCTTTGTCTTGTCGTTCGTCGCCATGAAGAAGCTGCGGTTTTTCATTTTCGTTCAATGACTTTTTGAAGTGGGCTTGTTCGGAGAGTTCTTCAATGGCCAAAAAGATTGTTTCAACACATTTAATGATGTCAATTAGTATCGAAATAACTGTGATAATGGGTATTATTTCAAGAACCTCCCATTCTCCTACCATTGAAGCTTGCAACGTAGTATTCACTTCGTTTACCGCCGTTGTACAGCTTTGTATGTGCATAGCAAAATTACAAGGATATGAGAAGGATTTTATTGATACTGCTAACTCTTTCAAAGCTTTTCCGGCTTCCGAGCTCATTTTCATGCATGGTTCTTGAACTATTTTTCGGAACTCTGATGATCCCTGAAAAGAGAATCAATTAAATAAATAACTTGTATAAATTTTAACCACTATAATTACATATAGAACCGTTTGATGTACGCATTAATTACATCTGCTAGCTGGTTCTTTTGCAAGTACTCAGAATCTAGCAAGTATTTTGATCTACAGGTTAAATGAGTAAACATAATTAATCCCATAATTAATGTATACATACTTGGAACTTTGGATCAAGATATCCATTTAGAGCTTCAATATGGTATGCACACTGCCGCGTAACAACCCCAATCTTCAAGTACTGTTTCCATGGATGGCTAAACCCAAATTTACCATGTCCTGGTTCCCACCATGCAAAATTTGCCTGTTCCAATTCCACATGCATTAACATTCCATTACTAATCCATCTTATATATATATATATATATATATATATATATGTAATTATATATGTATGGGTGTATAGTAACAATGATTTGTAAACTGACCAGGGATTCCTCAGTGGCTTTAGAGTTAAGAACACTTTTGTAAGCTGCAAGAGATGATTTGTCTTGTTCATTAGATATATCAGCACTATCTCCATCCAGTGGAAGATCGAAAATCTCTCCTCCAAATCCTGTAGATTTGGTTGTATTTAAAAATAAATTAAGCAAGAATGGTTGGTTACAGTTTTAGGGTTATTAATTCAAGTATATATAGCATTAAAAAAAATATTAATTATATATAGATTGTTGATTGTATTTATAAATGTACCGTCTAAGAAGCTAGCAAGCTTTTCCAAGTTGGAAACAATAAGGTTATGAAGATCTTCCCCAGCCCATACAGGGCAAACACATATGGAGATAATTATACAGGTCGCACCACCTAAGATGATCGTCGATAGACGTTGGTGTGCCAGCTCTATGATTTTATCAACACGGTATCCGGACACTGCTACCAAACTGAATGTGAGGATAAATATCAGCACCCCATAATCATACCTCCTTTTTATGTGAGGAATAAATCTTGAAAAGGTGGCAGCCGCGACTGCAATTGAGTTAAAAGTTTCAAAATCAGAACAAGGATTTTAATTTGGGGGCGGCACACAAGAATGTAATCATTGGCAAATGAATTAAAGCTGGTCCTCACCTAGAAGAAAGACAAAGCATCCAAGAACAATGGGTTCAACCTTGGGTCCGAATAGGCTAGCCAAGTATTCAGCCCCGAGTCCAAGTGCACCAGCCAGTAAAGTGGCTAAACCTCTATTCATACCCTTGCATAAGGTTGCACCTAGTACCGAAGTCATGATACACGAACGTTTAGAAAAGGAACATATATAGATGAAACCAAAAACATGTTTAATTAGTTTGTTGTGAAACAAGGAACTCACCGGCTGTGTACTCAAACACCACCACCACCGTCAAGATAGCCCAGATGCCTGCCTCCCCCATGCCTTTATATAATGGTCTTAGATAGTAAACCATGGAGACCAACGTGATTGCTAATGCCACCTTGAACGAGTGCACGATTCTTCTCGGATCGTCTTTTCCAAGCTTCTTTATTCGGTTGACGAAATTGACAATGGGAGCTTTCATTTTCAAAGGTGAAGCCTTGAATGCAATCTCCATGGGTAGATAGGTAGGCAGGTAAAGAGGAGGGCAGGTGAAGATGAAAGAGAGCTTATCAAGTGAAATGAACTTGATGGGATATATAAGCAATGTGAATCCTAAAGAGAGTAAAAAAGGCAAGAGGTATTCATGTATTTGGATGGTTCTCAACATGCAACATTTATTATAAGTAGTGGAGTTTTGTGCTTAAATGGGAAACTTCATTTATTGGGATAGATTAATTACTTAGTATTTATTACTTTATATTTAATTAATTAATATCAAAGGTTCATATACTATGCCACACATATGTCTTTTCTTTATTTAATTATTATAAGTTAATGGATTTTTCCTAACAAGGAAGGTCGAAATACCACAAGTTGTTTTCTTTTAATTAAATGTTCAAAATTTTATTAAACCAAAAGTGAGAAGTATATATAGTATAGGCCTAGCAAATGAGACTACTAAAACCATTAATCCTATGGATAAAATGAAATGGAAGGCTTAAAACCAGAAATCAACGCATGGCATATATATTGGAATAGATGAATACGATGATTAACAAATTAAGGATACCGTTAATTAAAGTATCTCTTTTACATGATGGTAGTAGATCGATACCTTTTTTGGTTGAACCTGTGAAATTTAAAACATTTTTCATATAAAAATTGTTGATAAAGAGTTGATATGACCCTTTGATTATACTGTGATACAATATTATAACAGTTTTTTAATATGCAATAATTATTATCTAATGCCTTTCACATATCAAAAAAATCATTAAATATCTTTTGATATATATATATATATATATATATATGTATATAGCTATACACTTTAAGCATATTTGTATGATGGTTGTAAATGGTACAATCATCACCTACAAAATGAATTAGTTAAATGAAATATAATGTTTGGCATAACAAATAAAACAAAAGGGTGATATATATGCATCGAAATGCGTTGTGTAAGGGTATGTCATATTAGATGCATCAAAACCAAGTTTAGTATACCCATATATGTTGCAACAACATTATATGTATGGATACATCTTATTACGATGTTTATATATTATAAACGATAGAATTAGTTGACTTATTTTATTGTAAAATATTGATACAGTATAATAATTTATATATAAAAAATTAAAAAAATCGATTTTATGTCAATTTAACTTTTGCCTTCAATTCCCTTTCATTTGATATCTTTGTGGCATTAAATCATTTTGAAAATTGCAAAACATGTAGTTACTAAGTTAAAGACTTAGATGGATAAAATGTAGATTTTGTTAAATTTGAAAGTGGTTACTATATGTATTATTTATTTAAATATTATAATAAGACAGAAAGAAAATAGATGATCATACATCCGTACATAATCCTACATCAACTAATATTTTACCCTTTTTATTTTTGCATAACCGGGTATTCGTCCAACCTTAACCATATCAGGTCAATCTTTTTTATTAATATATTCGATCTGTATAACACTAGATGAAACAGATAGTAATAAACCACATCCGGCATCCTAGGTTGACAACGTTATAGACTTATATATAGCCCTTTAAAAACATATTTTAATAAAGAATGGTGCCCTTTGATATCTTGTTTTCTTTTTATTTCAACTTTTTGTGTTAATATATTTAGAAAATGATAGGGCATACTTCTTTTTACTTTAAAATCCAGGATCCCACGATGGTGATCTCCAAGTTTCATTATAGTAAAATTTGTAGCACATGGTTCTTCTATAATATGCATAATCCAAATTGAATTTAAACTTCTAATTAAAATATTTAAGTAAAAAGTTACACTCTAGGAAAAAGGGCTACTTGTAAATAAAATTCAGTCCTAAATAAATGAAGTTTTAGTAGCTTATGCAACATTATAATATTTCCTCAAAAGCTTATGTAACCTACACTTTTATTTATTTATTTATTTATTTATTTATTATTATTATTATTATTATTATTATTATTATTATTATTATTATTATTATTATTATTATTATTAT